TCAGAGATGCATTTCTAATTCCAGAAATTCCGTTCTCACTTCACGGCAAGGAGAAGTGCATAAAATCTCAAACTTCATTAAAAATTATAAAACAAAGAAACACCTAAAACACAGAATACAGATAAAAACAGTTACAAAAGCAATTTTTCCAATTAAAATTAAAGTTTCTACTCAAAAGCAAGCAATATAGCCAGCGTGCAGGAAGACACATTTTTCGGTGCACACAATTGAAAATTAACTTTTTGTCCCCACTCGGCATAAAGACACTGACGTTGGTTCACAAACTGACTTAATTCACTATTCTACCAAGTTTCAAATGTAAACAAATGACGGCCTCATTAGGCTTAGCGCAACTTAAATTTTAAATTGTTGATAATTCTACAGCTATTGCATGCAGATTAATTAAAGGCATATAAACCTTAACCGGATCATAAGAACAAACTTATCAAAGTTAACTAACTTTATCAAAGTTACTTTACTTTAGCTTTATCAAACTTAAACTTTATCAAAGTTAGCCTAGTTCCAAAAAACGATATGTGGGTGCAATTCCCTAAAGAATATGAATGCTCGATATTCTTCCCCGTGTTAAATTAAAAAATTTCATTTTTAATGTCCAGTTATTCATAAAGTGCGAATGTTCGATTTCAAAATATTTCAATGGGAACATTTTTGCTTTCACGAGGAAAATATTTTACAAATCTATACACAGAATTTCAATTGAAAAAACAAATTGTAGGCATCATGGCGGCAAATATAGAAGCGCATTATTGGATTATTGGGGTAAACGAAGTAATATGTTATCGTCTCCTCATAAATACGTATTTTTAACGTATCCGTTCTACGTGGTTGAAGATACAAACAATTTCTTGTTGGGTTGATCTGAATAGCCAAAATTTTGATTTTAGATTCACAAAAGTGCACAAAAGACCTTAAAATAAAATAAGCAAAAATTAAGAAATATTACTATATAACAAAAAAAAAAAAGTTTATAAGGTATTTTCTCCCTCTTTGCCGCATGCTGTCGTGGTTTAACTAGAAACTCACTCGAAGGTGTGTTTTCTTTTTTTCTGCACGCTTATTAGGGTGGTCCAAAGTTTGAATCCCAGCGAGGACATTGCACATTTTTCACTGCTTCAAGAAAAGACTGATGACTTTACAAGTGGCGCCCGAACTTCCAAAGGTGGCGGAAGATAATTCGTCACTAACAAGATTTGTCGACTGGGCTTCCTAATCCCCAATTGCTATTTTAAGAAGGGAGTATATAAAGAATTTTTTCTCCCTTTCCGAATACCTTCGTCAGGTAATTGGAAGCATATTCGACGCGTATTAGGGATATCCGGAATTCGAAACCGGGGGGGGGACAATTCACATTTTTCACGCCTCCAGAGTAAAAAAAAAAAAAAGAATCCCATGACTCTACAAGTTGCTTAAATGTTTCTTTGGAATTCTTTGTTTTTAAGGGGACTCATACATCTTAAAACCCATAAGATGTTCGAATAGGTGACTGTTGCAAGAATTGGGATAACTTATTTATTTTAAAAGCAATTACTACCAACGTTTTACAGCTGATTACATAATATAGCTGCTTTCTGAAATAGTCATCAGAAGTGTGTGTTGCCACAAATATTTTTTATAATTTAATCCGCTTTGTGACAACATTTTTCGTCGTGTTTCCAACTGCGCGCAATTTTAAAACATTCTGTTGCATAGTTTAATTTCATATTTAAGATATAGCTTTATAACATTTAGAACTACTGGGAACCTAAAATTCTAAAAATTTCACGTTATTTTTATATTTGGAATTGATTTTAAAATGTATTTTGTTTTAAAAACACTGTAATGTTTTGTCCATAAAAGTTTTCAAAATTAATATTCATCAGATTGTTGGTTCAGTTAGAAAAGTGCCCATATAAAGAATTCCTCCGATTCCAAGTATGTACCATTAGCCATTTTTAAAATATCATGCGCCCAAGGTGGAAACACGGCGAAAATTTTGTCACACAGGATAAATTACAAAATATTTTTGGCACAGAAACTTTGGTACTAGTTTCCAAAGCAGCTATATTATGTAGTACTGTAAAAGTTGGAAGTATTGCTTTTAAAATAAATAAAATATCCCAATTCTTGCAACAGTCACATATTCGAAGATCATGAGAGGTTTAAGGTGTACGAGTCCCCTTAAAATGTGCATATGTGTAGGTGAAACACAATATTTCTGCTTTCATGAATTTACATTAACGACCCTGTTAATTTAAGTTTAATAAAACTAGCCTCCTTTCTTAAAAGTAAATTTAAGTTAAGTTAATCTAAGGACGTTTTCTTTTTAATTGTGAACTACACTGGCGTGCTTGTCATCTAAATACACTGGTGAAATAAATTAAGAGAATTTTCATATTTGTTCTACAATCTCCAGAACTACTGGACATATTTTAATAAAATTTGGTGTGAACATAGGTGGATATAATACAAGCAAAATAAACATCCAACAGTTATAATAGACACACATGCTCGTCTGTAACACTCATGGGAGTCTGAAGGTCTGAAATAGCGGTTGCAGAAGACACAAAAGAAATGGGTTAATAGGGGGTATGGTCCCCTCTTACAGCCATACAGTCCTAGTAGCGTGATGTCATACTGGAACTAAATCAGTTTATCAGTGCATGTAGCAATTGTTCCCACTCATTCAGCAACGCTGTTTTCAGTTCCTGGATGGTTCTCGGAGAGAGGTTGCGAGTTGCAATTGCCTTCTCCATAGCGTCCCAGACATGCTCTATAGGTTTGAGGTCTGAAGGCCTGGCTGGCCAATCCATCCGGCGAATATCCTCTCTCGAGAAATTCTTCGACCAGAAGAGCTCTATGTGGCCTCGCGTTATCGTCTAAGATAAGCTCGGTGCCCGCTGCACCCCGGAAAAGGCGAACATAGGGCTCCAAGATCTCATCCCTATACCTCACACCAGTCACAGAGCCTCTGTCAATAATGTGGAGAGGTGTGCGGCCATCCAACATGATGGCTGCCCAGATCATTGCACCGCCACCACCATAATTGTTGATTTCGCGGACATTGGAGGGTAAGTAGCGGGTCCCTGGCTCTCTCCATATGAAAGTAAGACGAGAATTGGTGTTTAGCCAAAACTGGAACTCGTCGGTGAACAGAACGGTCGCCCATTGCTCCGTACTCCAATCACTATGCAGCCTGCACCATGCTAATCGGACTGTCCTGTCCGTGGACGTAAGCGGGACGCAAACAGCCGGTCTTCTGGCAAACAACCCTCTCTTATTCAGGCTTTTGGAAACAGTCACCCTTGTTACACTGGTTCCTGTGGCTGCATACAGGTCTCGAGAGAGCTGAGAAGCTAAAGTCTCTTTGTTACGCCTCGCTAAAATGGACAAATAGCAATCTTCGCTGGTCGTCGTGGCTCCTGGGAGACTTGGCCCAGGCTTTCTCTCCATGGATCCAGTATTCTGGAACAGTTTTCATAGGTTGCACACGACGCTGGGTGTTAAATTAAACTCTCTGCATATATGGACTTGAGATTGGTCTTCCTCTAGCCTACCCGCAAATCGCCACTTCATTCCATCATCTAAACGTTGGTGATTATTAATTTTTACTTTTCCGATGTGAATTTAAGAGATTGCTGCAAGGTAGCACCAAGCATTCGCTGAGGTGTGCTAGCGGACGTAATTCGTTTTACCCTCCACGCACTTATGAAGCCTATTTTTCTTCTGGCTCCGCCTATACACACGTGTACACTTACGTATTTGCCGTACAAGATTTACATTTTTATCTAGAAGCAGTGATTTTTCCTTCAGTTCAGTTCTTTTCATGCAATTCGATAAAATATGTAAACTCTCTTAATTTATTTCACAAGTGTAGATTTAAAAGCTTACTCATCAATCAGAATAATACTTTTCTTATTTTTTTTTTTTTTTTTTTTTTTTTTTTTGTGCAGGTGTAATGATGAGACCAATATATGCGATGGTCTCGTCATAATTAAGATAGATGATTATAATTCTGTTCGTTTAATGCCAGTATAAGCTGTGAAAGCAAATAATAGCTTGTCTTCAATTGTTTTAACACAGGGCAGTTGGCTGTGATTTATCTGTAGAATGTGTCTGGCTATCCTCGACGATTTAAATTAAATTAAATCTTTACATCCGTTCAGATCTACGTATCGATACTTTATATATAATTCTTTTAACAATTTCAGCTTTAAAAATTTCGCTGTCAGTGTCGCATTTGACGTTGTTGTCCATAATATGGCAGCTTTTTCATTGCAGTTTGGAAATCAGTTCAGAACTGTTTTTAATGGACGTTGTCGTTTCTGGAGGTTGCCTTTTAAAAAGCTTATTAAAGCTATAGTGAGAAAAATATTTTTGGTTTAATTCTCATTGCTCTCAGCAGCAATCTGAAAGCTTTACTGGCGTATTATTTATATAATAATCCGAATGAGACCTACAATGTTTGTTAAAGTAACTTAAATTACACATCAGCAGTTTTTCTCCGAAATTACACATCAGCAGGCTTTCTCCGAAGTCCTAAAACCATTTTGAAATTTAGAAATATGACGAAACAGGCCATTATCAAGTGCAAAATCGAAATTTCATCTTAGTGTGTAAAATTAATTATTTTTGTCAAACATATCCTCTGTAATATGTGCTCGCAATATTAGAACCATTTAAGTAAATTATTTGTGTTACGAAATTTTAATAGTTTTACCAGTTACATTACATAACTGGAGTAAATGTAGCTTTTTATTTAAAATGCGAATGTGCAGCCAATTTCCATACAGAAAATGGCTAAAATTTGAGAAAATGGCTAAAATACAAGAAATGGCTAAAATTTGAGAATTATATTAGAGAAACTCTTCACTGGTCTAAACTAAGTCTTCGACTGCTCATCAAGCTTTCCAACTTCGTTGAAAAATTAATTATCCTTGCAATACTACGTCATTTCTAGTTATATAAAATCTAACGGATTATTCCAACAATAAATGTACTACCTGACGTTTCATGGTGATCGTCCTTCAGAACATGAAGATCTGGCATCGAGTGAGTCATTCAGCTGATAGTACTGAGCATGTTCCAAAGCCTGCAAATGTAAAAGGTATTTAAATATACAGTGCATCAATTGATGAATGAATATAAACATATTCTATACTACATCATAAATCAGGATGTTAATTAACCAATTTTTATGCAAAAGAACTCGTAGTGTCGTGGCTGTAGATCACTTAGCCGCAATTCTACATTACCATGGTACACAGATAGGGGAGATCTACATTGATTTCATCACACTGTGGCCTTCATGGAAATCATAAGGCAGATTTTTTGGCAAAGAAAGGGCTCAATAATCTCCAAATTACTAACAATCAATCACATCGCTTTTACACTACCAGAAGAGTTGTAGTCATTTAGGGTTTTCAGAAATGGGAAGAGTGAAAAAAGTGGAATACTCTCGCCAGGACTCGAACCCTGGACCTCTCGAATACACGACAAATGTTCTTCCAATTAAGGGGCTCATATACTTTAAACCCCTTATGAGCTTCGAATTATGTGACTGTTGCAAGAATTGAGATATTTTATTTTTTTGAAAAGTAATTACCTCCAACCTTTTACAGCTGACTACATAATATAGCTGCTTTGGAAACTAGTAACCAGAAAATTTATGTTGCCAAAAATATTTTTGTAATTTAATCAGCTTTGTGGCAAACTTTTCCGTCATTTTTCCACCTTGCGCGCATGATATTTTGAAAATGGTGAATGGTACACACTTGAAATTGGATGGAATTCTTTATATGGCACTATTTTCTAACTGAAGCAAAAATCTGATGAATATCTTAATATTAAAAAAATTTATGCACGAAAACATTACAGAATTTTTTTAATAAAATACATTTTATAAACTCAACACCAAATAAAATAAAAACTTAACATGAAATTATCAGTTTTTTTGGTTTATAGTAGATTTCAAATTTTATAAAATCTACATATAAACTATGGAATTAAATAATGCAACAAATAATTTTAAACTGTGCGGGCAAGGTGAAAACATGACGAAAATTTTCGTCACACAGCGGATTAAATTATAAAAATATTTGTGGCAACACAAAGTTTCTGATTACGATTTCAGAAAGCAGCTATATTATGTAGTCAGCCATAAAAAGTTGGAAGTAATTGCTTTTAAAATATATAAGCTATCTCAATTCTTGCAACAGTCACATTTTCGAAGATCATAAGGGGTTTAAGGTGTATGAGCCCCCTTAAACGACGAAGACATGGAGAAAGGAGGAACAAATGTACTTTATATACTTCCACTTTAGAAGGGTTATTGAAGATTATAGGATCCAATTATCAAATCCTGTTGGTGACGAATTATCGTCCACCACGTTTTTGATTTGGGCGCCGTTCTTCTATTCCCTTGACCTACCAGTCCTCCCGAGAGGAGTTCTGAGGTTCTTTCCTCCCTCTGAAGAAACAGATTCTTGAAAATTGTCCGCAGAGATTTGAAAGCCGGAACTTCCGAATAAGCATTCAGTTTCCAGTCATGCTTCCAGTTACGCCACGGAGGCATGCGGAAAAGACGGAAGAAATACCTTACACATTCTGCCTTTTAAAGAGAGACTGGGAATGAGGGTACCTAATCGCCAAATCCTGGTGGTGGCGAATTATGTACCGTCCACCACCTTTTAGTCCAAGCGCCATTATAGAGACATTAGTACTTTTTGAGACTGGAGGCATTAGTGGATTATTCAGTTATGGCAAAACACACGAGGGCTATCTGCCTAAAGGGAGAGATGCCTTCGTGGAGGACTTTCTAAGGGAAACTGACTCGTATACACGTCACACATTGGGAAAACCACCAAAACGCCCATGAAGCCAGCCCGTTCGCAGGATTCGAGCCTCGGACCGAACTACCAGTGTTCAGCATCTTAACCGCTCGGCCGCTGGTAGGCCTTTTTGAGGCTACAGATGTTAAAAATATAGACTAGCTTTGCCGGGATTTGAACTTCGCACCTCCAGAAGACGCGTCGCTTGTGCTTCCAATTATATTCATCGCAACATACACTGTAAAGTCTATGTGTGTACTGCATAGTTAGTATTGTAATGTATTGAAATTGCATAATTAGTATTGGAATGTATTGAAATCGCATAACTAGTATTGTAATGTATTGAAATTGCATAATTAGTATTGGAATGTATTGAAATTGCATAATTACTATTGTAATGTATTGAAATTGCATAATTAGTATTGTAATGTATGAATTGTATAAATCAGTATCGTAATATATAGTGCACTGCTGCAAAATTAGTTTTTAAATGTATTATAATTAAATAATTAGTATCGTAACGTATTGCAAAAGTAGCATGTTACAAAAGCCCCTGTATGGCCATGTACTTATATTTTTCTCAGATATCAGCAAACATCCGGGCAGTTGGACGGCAGCGAACCCCATCGGCGGCTCTGGATAATGGTGGACGTGGTGCTGTACTGATTAACCATTAAGGCGAAGGGACAGTGCCCACGTCCTCCGTAACTTATCACTTCCAATTACGCCACAACGGCTTGCGGAAAAGGAGAGAAAAAAACTTTAGATACTCCCCCCTTTTAAGCTTGGTGTTGATGAATTATTCTACACCACCTTTCTTAGTTCATGCGCCACTTCTAGAATCATTAGTTGTTGTTGTTGTTTGGGATTCAAACTCTCGACTTCACGAATAGGCGAGTGTACTTCCACTTACACCACGAAGGCATGCGGAAAGAAGGGAGAAAGTACCATATAACCTAACGTAGTATTTTTTCATTAGTCCAAAGGGGCTTTGTCCCTGAAGGGCTATTGTGTTCGTTTTGCGATGGTTTACTATAAATGTCCGTTTCGCTTTTCACATCATTGCCATCAAATACTATAGCCCTGTATTATATTTGAAGAAATTAAATAATGAAGAATCTTCATAAATGATGTATGTTTCTCGCATTGGGATAAAACGACGGTACCTAGAGCCATCGAATTTTGAATGACGTACTCCTACTGTAGATATGGGTATGTGGATGCCCAAATTTGAAATCTGGAATTTGTTTTATTATCGATTTCATATTTTGTAAACCTTTAACGAATTTTTGATTAACAAACTCAAGGATTTCAAAGCGAGCCATGACAACGTTGTACAGAAAAAATATTTCTATCTCCAGCGCGTGAGACTGTGTATCGGAAATTCTAAAGATGTGCTCATTTTAAAATTATTTTGCGATATTGCTTTTGAACTGAATTTTATGGTTTAAGTGCGAAGAACGTGATATTTAATAAATAAAGGTAACAAACAAAACGTTAAAAAAGCGCCCCTTTGGACGTAATTTAAAATCTAAAACCTTTCAGTTTTTTATTTATTTTCCTGTTAATATAAATGTAGGTAATTCCCACCTCTAGCTTTTTTCATTCGATTAACATATTTTACTGCTATTTGGTAATACATTGCAATTTGAAATGTATACATTGCAATTTGAAATGTATACATTGCAATTTGAATAATACATTGCAATTTGAAAAGTATCATGTACTGAAAATCACATGTTTTGAGATTCGTAATAACTTCGTATCTTATTAGATTAATTATTATTTTTTTTTAAATATAACATATTATCTGAGCTTTAGTATCGTCACAGTACTCGACTGATAAACTACAATTCCTTGAAGAATCGATATTTCAGATTTTTCCCAGATAATGAAAAATATCTGTTTCTGCCCCCTTTCCTGCCAGCTGCCATTATTACGGAACTGCATGACGCCCTTATAAGAGCCACTTTTCTTTTTTGCGTAAAATCCAAAAAATCGATATATTTTGTGTATGCGATAAATTTTCGTGATTACTTTCTATAAATTTATTTTTATATTCTACAGTACAACAGAAATACTTTGACGACAGTGCGAATGTAACCTGGATAAAATGTGTAAAATATCATCAAGAATTTTACGTCCATTCTTATCTACAACAAGTAACATTACTATAACAAGTCAATTCCTATAATCTATAACAATATATAACAAGAAATTCCTACTTAGGTCAACAAAGAAAATGTTATTTTAGTTACTTTTTATTAACATTATGAATATATTTTTCATTTCTAACTTATGAAGATGAAGGTGGTCTATAATTTCTCATTCTATCCATCTTTTGTAATGCTACATTATTGCGAAGAACCTTCACAGTGTGTTTCGAGCAGTCCAGTTCTTCAATTAATATTCCATCTAATGATTTCACACGACTCCAGGCGACATGTGCTTGACCTGATGCGAAGAGGTTTTGTCCTATATACATTACTGCATAATCTACAGTACTATTTATTTGTTTTAATGAGAAATGGACATTTTAAAGGTTTATATTTTAAACATATATTATTATCACGTTAACATAGAATTATGGGTAGAATTTTCGCTACATAATGGGGCATTACATCCGCTGCATCCAAATCTGCAAAACTACAGTTCTTTAATTCCATACAATTTAAAAACCTTTAGAACTCTGTCTTACTGTTGCCACTTATTTTTGTTAAATATTATAACCCCATTTATCACAGTCATGTACTATTATTTATAAGTTGTTATAAAATTAATTTTTACAGCGCGTGAGAATTCAAAAATAAACGGTCATTATTTGTAAGTCTTATAATAAATTTAAAAAAAACAGTATATCTTTAGTTCCCATAAAATGGGAATCAATAAGTAACAATTGACTTTAACACGTGACAAAACTGTATTAAAATCAAGTGTCATCCACTACAAGTTAAAAAAATGCATTTAAACTTGCGTGAATGAATAAAAAGTATTTTATTAACGACTGAAATTTTGAACAAAGTATATAGACCGTCCTTATATAGTTCTAACCCTTTCACCGAGACATTTCTAGTAATTCTGCTACTCGAAATTACTGAAAGGCAATACAAGGGTACAATTCCGGTTAACTCTACATATAATAAAAGAAAGAGTCTGTCTGTGTGTGTGTGTGTCTTTCGTTCGCGCTGCGCGTAAGCTAATAGATTCACGGTTACGAAATGTGGTACATAGGTGCATCTAGACAAAAGTCAGTGCTCCTCGA